ACAAGCCCCATTGGAACGGGGGGTGGACAGGTTGAGATGCTGGTGTCCGGGAGGGGCGGGCCCCCCCGATTCTCCGAGCGTTTCAAAGGCTTCCAAGGGAGGACGGGACGGTTCCGACGTGTCCATGCATTTGTTCCAAGCAAACGTCCACAAAACGCTCTCCCTCCCACCTTTGTATACGTTGCACCCTGCACCTGCGGATAAGTGTGAGGGACGGGCGGGGACGTCGGCAGTCTGCGAGACTCTGGAGAAGCCCGCCGCAGGCGCCAAACTTTCACAAACTATACAACGAAACCAAAGTGGATCGGTCGCGGGTGGGTCGCGGGTGGGTCATGGTCGCGGGGTGGGTCGCAATTGGGTCGCGGGTGGGTCGCGGATGGGTCGCGGGTGGGTCGCGGGGTGGGTCGCGGGGTGGGTCGCGGGTGGGTCGCGGGTGGGTCGCGGGGTGGGTCGCGGGGTGGGTCGCGGGTGGGTCGCGGGTGGGTCGCGTGTGGGTCGCGGGTTGGGTCGCGGGGTGGGTCGTGGGGTGGGTCGTTGGTGGGTCGCGGGGGTGCAGACAACAAACAACAACAACAATCAGTTTACCCTCATGCGCGATGTTTCCACACGAAGCATGCGACCGTCATGATCACCATCCCCCTCATAATTAGGGGGGCTCTTTTTCTACCGCGGGGCCCGTTATTCTCATTCCCAGATCTCCCGCCCAGTGAGGTTTTGCAAACACCTCCCCCGAGGAATCTCAACATATCCCGCCCTCGAAAACACATGCCCGCGCCGTGCTGCGCCGATGCGGGACCGAGCCACTTGACTGCCCTGGTGGGGATGGGGGCTGTCGGCGGCGAGACAAGGACCTGGCCCTGAATAGAAGGGGAGGAAGTCTCGGGCACGGCCGCTGTTGTTGCCAGGAGCGGCGCCAATGCCGAAGAGAGTAGGGCCGCTAGTCCTGCGCAGAACCGTAAAGCAAAACGGCGGTTCTCGGCGGCGAGGGGGAACACCGCCTTGAGTAAGAAGGGAAGAAGCCTCGAGCGGGAGCCGTGGTTTTGTCGGGACGGGGGCTGTCGGCGGCGAGGAACAGCACCGTCCTTCGGAAAAAGGGAGGAAGCCTCGAGCAGGAGCGTTGCTCTTGCCGGGAGCGGCGCCAAATCAAAAGAGGGTTGGGCGCCAGTCCAGCGTAAGACTGGAGGAAGTCTCGAGCGGGAGCGCTGGTTTTGTCGGGACGGTGGTTTTCGGCGGCGACGAGGAGCACCGTCTTGAGTAAAACATGAAGAGGTCTCGAGCGGGATCGCTGTTTTTGCTGGGGGCGGCGCCGATGAGAGAAATAGTAGCGCGCCAGTCCGAGGTAAAACGGCAGGAAGCTCCGAGACGGAACGCTGGTTTTGTTGGGACAGCGGTTTGCGGCGGCGAGGAGGAGCACTGCCTTGAGTAAAAAAATGAGGACGTCTCGGGCGGGAGCGTTGTTTTTGCTGGGGGCGGCACCGATGAGAGAACGAATAGCGCGCCAGTCCAAGGTAAAACGGGGGGAAGTCTCGAACGGGAGCACTTGTTTTGTTGTGACGGCGGCTTTCGGCGGCGAGCAAAAGCACCACCCCTGATGAAAAAAAGGAAGTCTCGAGCGGGAGCGTTATTGTTGCTGTTGTTGCTGCTTCTGCCGATGCTGCTGTTGTTGTTGGTGGTGTTGGTGCTGGTGTTGGTGTTGTTGTTGTTGGTGGTGGTGTTGTTTTGTTGCTGTTGCTGTTGCTGTTGCTGTTGCTGCTGTTGTTGTTGTTGTTGTTGGTGTTGTTGTTGTTGGTGTTGTTGTTGTTTGTGTTGTTGGTGTTGTTGGTGGTGTTGTTGTTGGTGGTGGTGGTGGTGTTGTTGTTGTTGGTGTTGTTGTTGCTGTTGTTGTTGTTGGTGTTGGTGTTGGTGTTGTTGTTGTTGTTGCTGTTGTTGTTGTTGTTGTTGTTGTTGTTGTTGTTGTTGTTGTTGTTGTTGTTGTTGCTGCTGTTGTTGTTGTTGTTGTTGGTGTTGGTGTTGGTGTTGTTGTTGTTGTTGTTGTTGTTGTTGAACATTATTAATTCTAAAGAATAATTATTGTTGGGACCCCTGGTGCACGGCCCCCCCGCCGCGCCTAGGCCGCAGCTACATTTTCATCATTTTTTCGCGAAAGCTTCAGAAAAGTGGATGGGGTCCAGATCCGGTTGTTTTGTTGTAATCCGTTTTCCCTTGCAAAAAACACTATAAAATGACATTTCTTGTTCTAATATAATCAAATTTCAAGAATCCCTTGCAAAAAATAAGGTAAAGTGGACATTCGCGCGCGCAAGACGAAATCCTTCCAAAAGCTTAGTGTTCGGAGCGATTTTAACATAAAAACATCAAAAAACCAATGGTTTTTCAACAAAAAATGTCAAAATCTCATCCCGCGCGCTCTTGCGGATTCGTAGGAAACCCAACACTTTTTAAACATTTCTGTCAAACGGGCTTTTGCGAGCAACTTTTTCGAACTTCTGCGACAACGGTTGCGCACCTGCCAGGGCCATCATCCCTGTCAAATAATATCATGCGGGACACATTCGTTTTTTGCGCGCGCGCGCCGAAATCTCCAAAAACCATTGGGCTTCTTAAGAATTTTAGCACCGCGCATCATAAAATCACCAAATCGTTTAGTACACCGCACTCACATCTATACCCCTGTGCGGGTGTATGTGCGGCCGTTTTTGCGCTGTCATGTGCGCGCATGTGCGCGGCATGTGCCAATCATGTGCCAGGCCTGTGCGGCCCTTTTTGGATGGACTTCCTACTGTGCACGTCGTGCCCGGGCATGTGCGGGGGCATGTGCGCTGTGTTTTGGTGTATCCATCATACGCACATGCACGCACAGTCCGACGCACATGCGCGCACATGCCTGCACATGCGGGAGGTATTCGAGAATCGCAGATCTGTCATCGGCACATGCACGCACATGCCTGTGCAACCTGTATTCGGGAGGCCGCGCGGGCCCGCACATGCACGCACATGCGGTGAAGCGCGCGGGCGCACATGCGTGCACATCCCAATGCACATGCACGCGCATGCCCTAGGAGCTGTCTGGGACCCCTGTGCCTCCAATGCCTCCTGGCTTTCGCAGAGCTAACCTGGTGCGTGCCAGGGTTTCCTGAAAGAGTTTGTTGTGCGTTTAGACTCGCCCGCTGCTGGCGGGGGTGGTTATTCGCCCGGTTCGTGAGCTGGCGGTGGAGTGCCCTCCTAGTAAAATACTCTCCCGCGCGCCTTCTCAGCTCGGCCGGAGAAGCAGGGGCGGGGTGGGGGAGGTGGAAGGGGGAGGGGGAAGGAGGGGGGGGCGGAGGAGGCGGGCGCCCCCAGCTCGGCCGGTCCGCCCGCCTGTTCGGTTCGGCCAGAGGAGGAGGAGGAGAAAGAAGAGGAGGAGGAGGAGGAGGAGGAGGAGGAGGAGGAGGAAGAGGAGGAGGAGGAGGAGGAGGAGGTGAGAGTTGTGAGGATGTCTCAGGCGAAAGTGGCTTGACGGCCCGAGCTCAGGGAATCTCGGAATCGCTGGCCTGGCTCGGCCACTGGCGAGCTCGGCCTGTGCGAATACTGTGCGTACCTGTGCGGGGCATGTGCGGGACGTGCAAGAATGCCGGGGCCGACGTTCGTCTCCGGGCGCCGGCGCATTCGCGTCCGCGCGCAAACCGCGCGCGGACGCAGCGTTCGCTTCATTGCGCGGCCCCGACAGACGGGGCGCCCCGCTCACGCTCCGCACAGGCGCGGCTAGTGTCTCGGCCTTTTCCGCTTGAGACCCTCGCAACTCTGGGTTCCGAGATGCCCTGATCAGGTGGTCAGGCCACTCCTGCCTGAGACATCCTCGCAACTCTGGGTTCCGAGACGCCCTGGGCTGAGGTGGTCAGACCACTCTCGCCAGAGACATCCTCGCAACTCTGACGTCAGAGATCTCTTGCCCCATGGTGGTCAGGCCACTTTCGCCCAAGACATCCTCGCAACTCAGACCTCGGAGGTGTCCTGCCCCATGGCCCATGGTGGTCTGGTCACCTTGACCAGCGACATCCTCGCCACTCTGGTTTCCAAGATGCCCTGCCCCATGGTGGTCCTGCCACGCTTGCCTGAGACATCCTCGCAACTCTGGGTTGCGAAATGCCCCGAGCTCAGGTGGTCAGGCCACTATCGCCTGCGACATCTCTGCGGCATGTGCGGGCATGTGCGTCTATGCTTTCAGAGGTTTGCTTGGCCGTGCATTCGACTGTGCGTCCGACGGTGTGGCATGTGCGCACATGTGCGGCAATGCTGTTGAGGCTTTTGTATATTTGCATGGGCATGTGCATGCGACTGTGCGGCATGTGCCTGCATGTGCGGCCCCTTCCGGACCACAATTTCAAAGTGAGCACTATAGAAGTGAGCGCTATAGAAGTGAGTCCGGTGTACGTATCATGTGTATCATGTGTATCATGTACCATATGCATCATATGCAACAGATGTTCTGTGGGAGGCTTAACAACTTCTGTGGGTTAACAAGGCTTAACAACTTCTGTGGGTGTACGAACGTAGGCTTAACAACTTCTGTGGGTGTGTACTCCACGCCAGTGTAGTAGCCACGGTCGTCCGCAGGCCACGAAGTGAAGTGTCCGAACGTCATAGGGCGGGAAGCTGGGTGTGGGTGGTGGCGAAGAGTCGTGTGGATATTTGGTAGAGCTTGCACTGCCCCCCCACAAAGTGGGGGTATTGGCTGGCGTCGCATGAAAACCCTGGCACTGGTGAGAACACTGAGCGTTCGGGTAAAGTGATTGTTGTTGTTGTTGTTGTTGTTGTTGTTGTTGTTGTTGTTGTTGTTGTTGTTGTTGTTGTTGTTGTTGTTGTTGTTGGGGGGGCCATTTGTGGCGCCCCCCCAAGCCGCTCGAGCGTGAGCATCATTTTCAATGAATGCAGCGGGCGCCGAGGCGAGAACGCCAAGGCGCCTGGCGGGGGGGTCCAACAATACTAAATGTTGAAATAATTAGCATTAGGAAGCCTCGAGCTCGAGCGGGAGCCGTGGTTTTGTCGGGACGGGGGCTGTCGGCGGCGAGAAACAGCACCGCCCTTAGGAAAAAGGGAGGAAGCCTCGAGCGGGAGCGTTGTTCTTGCTGGGAGCGGCGCCAAGTCAAACGAAAGCACAGCGCCAGTCCAGCGTAAGACTTGAGGAAGTCTCGAGCGGGAGCGCCGGTTTTGTCGGGACGGCGGCTTTCGGCGGCGAGGAGGAGCACCGCCTTGAGTAAAAAAATGAAGAAATTTCGAGCGGGATCGCTGTTTTTGCTGGGGGCGGCGCCGATGAGAGAAAGAGTAGCGCGCCAGTCCAAGGTAAAACGGGAGGACGTCTTGAGTGGGAGCCCTGGTCTTTTGTTGGGACGGCGGCTTTCGGCGGCGAGCAAAAACACCGGCCAGGAGGAAATCTCGAATGGGAGCGGTGTTGTTGTTGGGGGGCCGGTTTGGCGGTCCCCCAAACCGCTTGAGAGTGAGCCTCATTTTCACTCAGAATGCAGCCGGCGCCGAGGCGAGAGCGCCAGGGCGCTTGTAAAGGGGTCAAACAATACTACTTGTTTAGGAATTTTACAAGCAGCAACAACAACTACAACTACAACCACTACAACAACAACAACAACAACCACAACCACAACCACACCAATAACAACAGCAACAGCAACTACAACCACTACAACTACAATTACAACCACAACCATAACCACAACAATCACAACAACAACAACCACAACAACAATATCAACAAGATCAACAACAACAGAAACAACAACAACAACACCAACAACAATCAGTTTAAACTGTTCGCTCTTATCCGTCTGGGTGTCCGTTAACGCGTATTTCCGAAACCCTCGATATTCGCCCTCTTCGTCTTCGATCGTCCCTGGCCGGGCCCCGGCAAGCGGCAGGGCGGCCGCGGACCGTCGGCCTGGCCAGCGGCAGCGCTGATCGGCAGCAACCGGACCCCAAGAGGGACGGACAGACAGGGGACCGACCACGACGACGACAACGACGACGACGACGACTGCGATGACGACGACGAACGAAAGCGAAAGCGAGAGCGAGAGCGAGAGAGAGAACGACAGCAGGGCCACGATGGGCACGAAGTAGGCCACGAGGGGCGACAGCGGGGACACGAAGGGAACGCGAACGAGCGGGGGCCAAGAAGGGCAGATCATGCAGGCCCGCAAAAGGCAACGACGTGGCTACTGAGGGTAGCAACTGGGCCGCGCAGGACAGCGAGGGGGCCACATAGGGCGACAGCGGGGCCACGAAGGGCACGCACATGGGGCCACGACGGGCGCGAACGAGCGGGGGCCACGAAGGGCATGCGTAGATTGGGCCGCGGAGGGCAAGAACAGGGCCATCGAGGGCAGCAACGGGGCCACGAAGGGCGACAGCGGGACCACAAAGGGCATGCACATGGGGCCACGACGGGCGCGAGCGAGCGGGGGCCACGAAGGGCAGGCGTGCACATGGTGCCACGACGGGCAGCGATGGGGCCACGAAGGGCTGCAACGGGGCCGCGATAGGCAGCGAGGGGGCCACGAAGGGCGGCAACGGGGCCACGAAGGGCAGCGAGGGGGCCACGAGGGGCTGCAACGGGGCCACGAAGGGCTGCAACGGGGCCACGAAGGGCTGCAACGGGGCCACGAAACAAAGCGAAAGGGCCACGAAGGGCTGCAACCTTGCCACGAAGGGCAGCGAGGGGGCCACGAAGGGCTACAGCGGGTACACGAAGGGCAGCGAAGGGAGCCACGAAGGGCTGCAACGGGGCCATGAAGGTCAGCGAGGGGGCCACGAAGGGCTGCAACGGGGCCACGAAGGACAACGAGATCCCGATTCTTAAATAATCTGTGAGGGGGTCCTAAGCGTGAGCGCGGCTCCTGGGTGCCTGAGTGTCGGGAGCGCGGGGCTTGAGTACACTGCCGGAAATTCCAACACAAGGGCGCTATTATTGAGTAAGTTGCAAGCGAGTCCCCAGCGAAAGCGCAATTCCAGGGCGCCGGGAGAGCGATTCTTGAAACAATTGCAAGGAAGTCCCAAGCGAGAGCGCGATTCCTGAATAGAATGCGACGAAGTCTCGGGTGGGAGCGGGGGTCCTGGCTAAATTGTGAGGACGTTTTGGGCGGAAGCCGTTGTTGTTGCAACCTGGGAGGCCAACGGCACAGTTTGAGGGGGATGATTTTCTTTGCTAAATAACAGGGTGTGAGTGCCGGGAGGGCACTTCAATTGAAAAGTACCGTGTGTACCGGAGGGGGGGCCAACCATATTCATTTTTCAACCGTGAGAATTTAACGGAACAAGCAGAATCCTCACCACGGGTTCCTTACTGCAGCCACGCACCCACGGACAATGAATGACCGTTCGGCCCCCTTCATTCTGACATATGCACATATATGTATATATATATATATATATGAGTAATGCACATATATATATGTGCACATGTACATCCATATGCATGTTTCAGTCCTCCTTTCTCCGCGGACGCGCGCGCCA